TTGTTTCGTAGAAAAATAATGTTTACAATTCTGGACTTTGTCAACGAGTTATCGAGTGTTGTGTACGCGTGTGATCGCCTTGATAAATAAGTTTGTTTGTACATATTACGCACGGTAAAACGAGACGCGAAATGTACGGACAAATCGGTGCTTTCTTTTGGGGGTATGCGTCACTAGGCGTTACTAGGCGTCAATGACCTGCCATGTGCAGCTGACGTGTCGCGTAAGAGAACCGCGTACACATTTTAATACAAATTTATATTCAATGTATACATATGTAGTATCTTCTTCATACACACACACACACACACACAATAAGTCTTCTTTCGTGAATAAGAGGCTGTGCAAGAGGGTTAAAAACGCCCCGACACATTGCCGGACATTATACTCGGGAAACGGAGAGCGTGGTTGGTGCGTTACGAGCGGATTGGCAAGGCTGAGCACGCGGATGCCTGCTGATGTGCACGTGATTCCAGCGTGCCACGGTTTCGCGGCATCGACCGACTTCCCTCTCTTCGTGGTGCACGAACACAACCGTGCCCGACGACGCACACAATCTTTCGTTTGTCCAACACCTGCTACGTGGTGCACGAAGACGCGGTCCGCGTCTACGTATTTAGATGCCCTGAAATACTACAACTACCATCCGGAGCGTATCGCCGGATGCGTCAACAGATTTCTCGCGCGAACAGCTGTTTCTGAGAAGTCGTTGAACATTGGTCTAATCTGAAGTGGTCGCAAAACTGGAATTTCGATAAGAAACGCTACTCTCAAATCTCGGACCAGACGCACTTACTAGGTTACACCAGTGTCCGTCTGTATTTTTTTCGCACAGCGAAGAATGTCCCTACGAATTTTTGTTTTAATCTCACTCTTCTCGAACAATCGCTCAGCGTTTTCTCGCGTCGTGCCTTTGTCAATAGTTGTAGAAAATAAACACAGCAACGTGTTCAACATTTCAAACAATGCCGTTTTCTTTTATTTTGAAGATTCATTTCACGTTGCGTTTATTGTCGTAAAACTTGAGACAGAGATATCGATATTCTCTAAAAATGCTTTGGAAAATCCGTGACGTGTAATTAGAAGTACGCGAAATTAGAAGAAAAGAGGTCGTACGTTCTCGGTAGAATGCGAATCGTGCGCGTATTAGAGAGAGGAGGTAAAAAGTCGTCACAAGATGTTGTACAAGTGCTTGCAACATTGTGCAAGAACAATAGCCTTCTCGCGAATAGGTTTTATTTTTTAAAGTTCAGAATTTGCGAACCACAAAAAAGTAATTCGTCTTTTTGTCAGCTTCAATAATTAACATCGCGAATACATCATGTCATCTTTATTTTATCTTCGAATAATGTGCAGAAAAACATACAGTTTTTTTTATGATAATTTCCGGAAGGTAAGAGAGAGAGAGAGAAAGATGATTTCATAAGTAATTTTAATTTGTTACTCCGAAACGAATTACACACGCGTAGAGAGGTGTAATATAAACCGGGAAAAACGAGCGACGTAATCGTTGAACGGGAAAGTCTTGAGAAAAGAAAATCTCTCGTGCGGTTTCTCCTCTCGAAACATTCACCAACAAGGCGTTACGCCGCACAAGCCATCAGCTGTCTTTACTATATAGTTGCGCACTTCGAGCGGACAAAGACTAGCGTCGTTACGGTGAATGAATTCAACCTACTTTTCAATAAAATAACCCGACGAAGAGACAAAAACATAAACGGAATATTTTTCCCGGACATTTTGAACTGAATAATATTTTAGACATGATTTAAAATACGCGCGAAAAATCGACATTTATAAATATAAATATTTAACGCGCGCGCGTCGAAAAAATTACACGGTGCGTGTATATAAATAACATCGAATAAATTTTCGGATTTTTAATGTGTAATCGCAAATTAAAATTTTTTAGTATAAGAAAAGCTGCAACATGTTTTTTTCAAGAACGCAATTAACATAAATGAATTTCGGAATTACATTTTTTCAGCGCTTACTGTTGAGCCAACCAAAAAAAATATGAGTCATTCTTGATTTTTCCATGTTTGAATGTGAATAAAGGTCTATTTTTGAGAAGTGCCAAGAACGTGAACCGAGCGTGTGTTTCACGCATGCTCCTCGTGGTAAACCAGCTTCTTTGTGTTCCACGTCGCTGTATATATACTATATGTGAAGTATCTCTTTGTTTGCTGAAACTCTGTGTCAGTTTCTCACACACACCTCCCGTTTGTACGAGGAATCGATTGATTCAATATTAGGGGCATCAAATAAAATTGCATAATAATGTCGAAAAAAACAACATATAATATTTAGAGCAAATGTGAAGTTTCTATCTCTCGACTATAAGCCGTCTATAAATTTTATATACATGAAGGAGTTGATTTTATATATAAATACTTTCTATATTAAAGTAGATCAAATGAGACGTATAAGAATCCCGGAGGCTGTATTTACGCTCCGTTGCCGATGTAAGAAGCTCCAAAGGTGCAAAGAAGAAGCGTGTAATGAATCGCATGCGCGATGTCGCGAAAGATCGATTTCCAAGAAGAATCTAAAAACACCCGCGCAAATAATAAGTAATCGGAAAGATATACTCACAAAAATTCCCAGTGTAATATAATTGTTAATTGCTCGCGTCTCAATTAACGGTTGCGACACATATTTGACAGAAGTGAATACTCAGTATTTTATAACGTATAAATCTCACAATAATCTTAGAAAAGTATAATTACTTACGCGTCATATTACCGTATAAAAAATCCGAGTGTCTAATACTTTGATTAGACACTCGGAAATCAGCTTAAAAAAACCCAAATGCATTAGAATCGTTTTTTTTTTTTTTTTTTTTTTTTTTGAAAATAGTCTTATATGATTAATATACACACGTACACACCAGTTTGTCCCAGTATTATCTAGATGCAAATACGTGATATCACACACATCAGACCACATACTAAATAGATTCACAGACTTATATAGTAAACGATAATAATTATAAATGCAAATTACAATTTTTAATGAAGCAGACAGAGACGGGACATCACCAAGCAATTGTCTCGGCAAAGTTTTTTTTTATAACAATACAAATTAATAATTTGACATTCTTACTTTGGATTTTTAGTCAATACTAATAATAAAATTGCGACAATACATTGCAATATATTGCTTATTATTTTATAGCTGTGCGTTATTTTTCACTTTAAAGCGCTTATACGCGGGATCCTCGTAAAATGGAAACTGAAAATCAGTATGAATGTGTAGTGAGGAAAAAAGAAGAGATTTATACTCAAATTCCTCTTTTAAACGATATTAATTCTACATCACAAAGTATAATTGCGCTCAGCTATCTTTGCGGAGTGTGTGCACGTTCGATTTTTCAAACAACACAAGTGTGTTCTTTCATTTGCTTTGTCTAAAAGCTATGATAATCAAACACTCGTTTTGTCAGCGTGTTTCTAGTAAAATTGCGAGTATCTTTGTTTTTTACTCTGCGAAGCGATTCAGCGGCCACTGTGACTTCTGAGACATTTTTGCGCGACGGTTATTTATTGGATATTTTTTTTCGTTTTTTTTTTTTTTTTTTATCGCGATGATCAATTACTGCCCGTGAAGTGATTTTAGCTCTCAGTTTGTTTTTATGTGCCAACTTTAGCGTGCTGATAACATTGGCAATGATAACGATGTGCAAACACCGCCTCCGCTCTGATTGGTTAGAATAAATGTGTCGTTTTCATTTCTATCGAGGTCAAGCGATGATTATAAACGATTATTTCATCCCACGAGAGAGACTTATGTAACAAGTATCTTACAAATGTCTCTTACATTTTGCCGTACCGATTTGCCGTTGTTCTTTTTTTTTTTAGCACGAAGTCAATCGTGCAACAGCGGACTGTTGATTGACTTTATCTGTTTTTTTGAAACTCATGTTAAACAAACACAAGTATATTTTTCGATCTCAAACCAAGGTGATAACATAGGTATGTGAGACTCTCAGAGTACATAACTTACGCATCTGTTCTAGAGCTCAGAGACTCTGGACTCTTCTGTTTCTCTTCTTCTCTTCTGTAATTACACTCTCACACAAAACGTGCAAATTAAATTATATTCTTATGAAATGACGTTCGAAGCTTCTTTTTTTTTTTTTTTACAATTATAACATACAACGATGTTTTGCCGCCGACGTATACCTTCGGATTGTTTATCTCGAATCGCTATTTTAGTAGCGTGAAAAACATAGTATTTTTTTGATTGAAAAACAAGTCTAACATATTTTGCATAAGGCCGTGTGAAATATTCAGTAGTAGAAAAAAAAAAAAAAAAACAAAGCTCTGCATCGTACTAACATCGTCTAAACGTCCTTGGCAACAGGAAAAAAAATGTTATCTTCTTCACGCATCGCGCATCGGCTGAAGTTATAAACAATAACAAATTACGTTAAGATGGTAGATCTTCGAGTAAGAAAAAAACAACGGAAAAAAAAATCTATTTCACTCGGTTTTGTATTTGTGTAAGAAAAGTAAATAGTGTGTTTTTGTGTCTGTCCTCGTTTTCGCGAACAAAATCACTTATCGACAATAAAACGGGTATCGTCCAAGTTGCGGCGTCTTTCGATAAAATGTTTACCGAGCACACGTGTATATTTTCGGACATAAAAATTCTTAAGTAAATAAATATGTATTCGACGAGAAGCTTCGCGCGCGCCAGTTGTCTCGAGTTATATTTTTCCCTTATCTCGAAACTTGAAATGCAAAGAGAAATACGCGTAAAATTTAATCAAATGTTTGCATGAGAAACAAATGATTTTGAATTCGCTAAAACGCGTCGATATGTGCGTAGCGACGTGTTTTTCCAGATAGATGGTGAGGAACTTTTATTTATTCCGTCATCGCGTCATCGGAAAAATAAAACACTTCGCCTCTCAACGCTCCTAAGACACGATACGACGACGACGGCCCCCAGCGATGATGCAGACGTGCTTGCGTGCTCGTTCCGTTCGAGAAAAACGACGTTGCACGTGGTTCGTGAGTGCTTGGCGTGTGTACCTCCATCTTTCCCCGCGCGTTTACTTTCCCTACCACTTCGCTCTAAGTGCGCCGGCACAAACGCGGTATAAAAACGAATGCACGTCGGCGAGACGCTTAGTGCGTCTCGTGCGGCGTTGTGATATAAGTGTATTAGAGATCTCATCTTTGTTCTGTAATTAATTAGCAATTTTCTGCGACGTTATTACAATTAGAGAGACTTCGAGATAAAAAAAACAAAATATAAGTACGTTGAATTTTAATCGTTGCGATTAAGTGTTCGACGAAACAATCGCGCGGTCTTGACGAGGTATAGAAGATTTTTGAGTGACAAAAATCAGAAGAAAATTTGAAAAAAAATTATAATTGTCACAGTTGAGTTGATTATGCCAATAGAGTTGGAACCAATGGCGCCTGTCGCTCATAAAACCATCTCTCGCAACGGGTAAGCAATAAATAGGAAGACACTTTTATTCACTTTTTGTTGCCGTGACACACGTGAATTTCTTTGATTATACTTTTATACCGCATAAAATGTGTGTCACGTTTTATTTATGCAACATTCACAAATACTTCGCGCACAAAACGCTTCTCTCCCAACCGCTCGATCGTAAAAGGATTAGAGAACAGCTGATTCGGACACACCGTGTGACAGGTTTCCTCGTACCAGGCACGTTGACACTCGCAATGACACACTTCCGCCAATGTTGACGTCAGCGTTTCTTATATAAGTCCAAAAAAAAAACAAAAAATAATCGAATGTTAATTTATTATCTAGACTCTCTGTTAGCAACCATGGTGTTTTTATCCTATATAAAATCTCTTTATTTATCTTGCTAATAATGAAACTCTGTGGAGTGGAAAACTTCACATCATCATCTTCCGTGAACACTTCTTGAACCTTCTCTCCTATCAGAGTCGACCAGCTAGGGTGAATTTTTTTTTAAAATAAATACTTTTTCTCACATAAATTTGTCGATTTTGTGTTGCAGAGAGAAAAAGATGAACAAGCTGTGCCGTCAACTCTCGATTGAGAGTCCGAGCGTGACCGGACGCGAGTGCGTATTCAGCTTCGATGTGCCGGTGCCGGACGTGCCGGCGCACGGTGCTCGCATCCGAGTGATGTGCGCTGGTGCGTGCTACCATCCTCGACGATCGCCGAGTCTGACCAGCCTGACCTCGGTCTCGAGCGGCAGCAGCCTGGCCGCCGACATGTCCATGGAGAGCGACTATCCGGTGTCTCAGCCCCATCATGGGGTACGCGACGCCGCCCTGTTCCCTGGGTACGAGGTCGCCGGCGTCATCGAGTCGTTCGGCAGCGAAATACCCGAAGACTGCGAACTTGCCGTTGGCGATCGCGTGGTCCTCTATCCGTACGAAGGCATTCCCAACGGCTATGTTGAATATCTGGTGGTGCACGATCTCAAATATCTGATCAAGATCCCGGACAACGTGTCGCTTAGCGTGGCCGCTATGCTACCCGCTGGCGCGCTCCTCGCCATGAACACCGTGTTCGCCGCACACGAACACGTACAGGTACATATTAATTCTGTCAAATATGTCAAAACTTTTGACATTCAATTCAATCCTTCGCCTACAGACATGGTTTTCCCAGACCCACTCAAGAATTGCGCATTGGTGTTTTTTTTAGTAAAAATTAGTGTTTTTTTAAACGTTTATATCTTCGAAACTACTAGAGATTTTTTCAATTTGTTGTTTTTTTATCGACGCAGAATCGTTCAAACTTTTGATTTAAAAAAAACAATTGAAAAAATATTGATTTTTCGCGGAGATATTTGATCTTAAAGTCGCGCAGGTCTCACAGACCCAGTCTGTCTTATACTCGTAGATCATTTTTGAGGTCTACAGGCAAAAGATTGAATTTATACAACAAAAAAAAGAGAAAATTTTTAGACATACATGTGGATAAAAAAATGTTGCAGGCGTTATTAAAGGAGAGAGGTGAGAAGAGTGTCTGCAAGATTTTAGTTGTGGGCACAGGTGGTCTCGCTCTGTGGGCGCTCAGAATCGCTTCCTATCACTTCAGCAATATGAGAGACAGAGTTACAACTACAATAGCAACTCTTAAGGACGACGGTCTTCTCATCGCTCAGGAGTTCCAACGGTAAATTTTGATATCAGTTTAATTTTTCGTAGCACAAGTTCTATTTTTTTTTGCAAAAGAGTTTATTTTTTAACGTTAAATGTTTTATTGAGATTTTTCGCTTTCAAATATTTGTTGTATCTCGATTTGATTTATCCAACAACAATCAATACGTCGATTGCAGTGTAAACGTGGTGCAATGGAGCGAGGATTTGTACGAGAAACAGCTAATCGAACGTACGATGGACGCGTGCGGTGGTCAGGTGGACGTTGTGATCGACTTTGGCACGACCTCGCGCAATCTGCATCGAAGCATGCAATGCCTCAGTAAAGGCGGCGTAGTGTTTGTGATCAAGGAAGTCGCCGATCGACTGCTGCCTAAGTTCAGTCGACGGGCGGAGGAGCGACAGCAGTCCATTAAGCCGGTGGAACTCGGTACGTTGGAGCAATTGCGTGAACTGGTACAATTGGTCGCGTCCGGTGAGATCGAGCCGCCGCCACATACCGTATATCCCGCTGAAGAAGCCCTCGACGTCGTCCAAAAGCTTTGTCACTCGGAGATTCAAGGACGCGCGATTCTTCGTTTCTATCCCGCGGATTAAACGATTCGTTGTTGAGAGAATTTCTCCGCAATTTTCGCGGATTGACACAGATTTGACGACAACAATCGAATGAATTGAAAATGCCGAACGCTGCCGGACGCCGGACGCTGGTCCGGGTGGGAATAGTGGGTGAGAATAGTTTCTTACGATGGTGTGTTGGGGAACAACACACACTTTGTTTCAAAAAAACCAAGTTAAACTATAAAGAAGTAGTTTGTCAACGAGGTTTAGATTAGGTGTTGATACACACGCGTACGTTCTGCGTTATTATAATTCATGAATGCAAAGACTGACGAAATGTTTTCATGAAATTCTCGACGACGCAGTAATAGACACGGGACATTTAATGTATTCGAGATTAAATGTGCTGAAATCATCCGTTTAGTTTCATGACGAATGCTAAGGCGGCGTACAAACAGCGTCTGATTTTATTAAAATAAGCTGACTTCACATATTATCATTTTAAATGTTGACACATTTGTTTGAAATATAAAAAAAAAAAAAAAGTTAAGTTTCGCGCATAGTAACGCATCAAAATAATTTACGCGCACGTACGAATTAAACCAATATGTGATGAGATAGAGAGAGAGAGAAAACCGAAACGCAAAGACGAACGCTACTGCTATGAAAAACGGAGCGTTATTATTGTCGAAGAGAACGCTCTCTATTTTCCCATTGAGGATGTTGGCATTTTATCGTCACTTCCTGTGACACAAATCAAAGGCGTGGATAAAATATGATTTACGAAGAGAGATATGTAATATACGTAGACGTGAAGCAATACAACTGTTGCTCGACGTGAGCGTGTGAGTGTCCTCTTCGATGTGAAAATTTTCGCGCTATCAAATCGAATGAATGCGCACAATATTTAGCTACTTTTGTAGCTTTTGTCTGTGTATGCTGGAGGTAAAGAGGATACGAACGACTTTGAATGAAAGACTATACTATTAACTATAAAATAGTATTAACTGTACTATTTTAATATCTATGTTATAGCTAATAATAATGACTGTTAAAAAGTCGCTGATACATCTCTGAAACAAACAATATAACACGACAGCACGAAAATAAAAGATATATCAAAGTGAATATTTTTGCTTAAAGCAGACGAACGAACGTCGGATTTTTCTATAAAAAAAAAAAAAGTGATCCAGTGTCGCTGCTCCCTTGTTCTGTAACTTTACAGAACGACGATTCTGCGTTAATCGTATCGTATTGCGCGGCTAACTGCACACTTAGCGCGCCTCAAAAGTTACAGAATCAGGTCCGCTGCTGCGTACAATTGTTAAAGGTCTGTACTTTTTGCGTTTATTACAGAATGTGAATTTTACACGGTATTTGGGATAAGTTTGAAATTCAAAATATATATATGTATATATATATATATTCTACGTTATTAAACCATCTTGTTAATCTGTATATATAAATACGTACGAACATGAAGGTACAGACCTGTTTGTTACGTGTAAAATTTGATGTAAACAAAAAAAAACGATCGGCGACACACATTATTAATTCTAACGTTGTACAAGAGAGGTATCTTCAAAACCGTTTGTTAACGGGATTTGCCGCTATTTGTCCCACTTATTGAGAAATACACAATAATAAAACAGCAACGATTAAAAAAACAAAAAAAGTAGATAATATATATATATCCTGTTATCGTCCGAAGTATATCACTGTGTATTATTTCTGCGTGTGAGTATGTTGCGAGCGATGTATGTTTCTCGATAAATATCGACAAATGCCGCTAACAAGTAGTACAAAAAATAAGTAACCGGAACCCAAGCAAGTCCGATATTTACCGACACATTTCAGGACGTATACGTATATCGCAGTGATATATATACATATATGTACATCTATACATATATATATATATATATATATGTGTGTTTATATATATACAATGCAAGATCAAACATGAATTTAGTGTCAATTCAAAACAATATTAATTAACAATTGACCGCCTGAATCTAGAATAAGTTTCCTGTTGAGATTTTTAATCCGATATGTCGGAGGAAAAAAACCTGTAAAAACAATTTAAAAAATACCTGTTTTATCGTAAAGTAAGAGAGAACGACGTCGTCGCTATAGTGAGGTAATCTCAGCACGCGACAATTGCCGTTCGACTCTAAAACGCGACGAGTCGAAGGATTAAAAAAATGTGAGGAACATGACTATGGTACACAATACAAAAGACGTACGGAAAGCGCTTCTTCTTTGTGAGACGCGCGCGTTTGAGGAAACTCAACTAATTGCTTTTTAAAGTAAGTTTTTAGGCTGATTATTTAAAAGAGATAAGAGATAATAAATCTCCCCGATACAATAGTATCATCACCTTTTAACGCGCGAGTAAACACACGCGTTCTCACAGGCCTTCTCGCATTAAAAAAAGCTAAAATGTGTGTGCGCGTTCGCGCGCGTGCTCACGCGACAGCTTAGTTAATGAGTCGACATCGTTTTTAACTATGCCCATATGTTTTCGTCCACAACATAGTTTCTCGATTTTTCCGACAACACTCTTCCTAGATAGCTCACCTTCTATAGTCTTTGTTTTAAGTCGCCTATGATTATCTCACTATATCGATAATATGTTATTTCGTAGTATACAACATATACGAATGTTCGTATAAAAAACAATAATATGTTACTTAGAGTTCTACTTGACGCGTATTGAATTGTATTTAAACCGTAGAGTTATACGAGCTGTGTTTTGCAACATTTAAATTGCGTTTTGAATGCAACGAGAGAGAGTGGACGATCGGAAGATACGTATGATACTATAGAGTTGGGAATATTTGTCGCATCCGTGAACAAGTTAGCGAAACCGAAACACGAGATATTGCGGATGCGAGTTTTATCATTAACCGATACGATAAGAGCATAATACACGAGTCTGTAATATACAATGTAATTTAGTGTTTAATTCGCATGAAACAACAAGTCAGCCTTTTATTGAGCATACAACTTTTAAGCGCGTATCTCGTTTTATCGTCGTTTGTATCGTTAGATTAGTATTTAATTTCCGTTTAGCGTAAGTTAGCCTAAGTCCATTCTCGCGTAATTAGCTTATAACGACGCTGACACATAGTAAAGTTGCGTCGGTTGGCAATGCAAGTCGTGTAAGTCGCTATACATACACATACATATATATATATATATATATATATATATATATATATATATATGTATATATATATGTATATATATATGTATATACATAGTATATATCTCGAAAGACTGTTTTTGTTTATTTTAAAAACGAATACAAATTATCGATATACCTTTTTATTATTAATTGTATATATTTTTTAGGCGATAACTTAACATCACGACACACGTATCGTATGCAGATTATGTACCTACTGTTACACAATAACAGTAAACACTATATTATGATAATAATATATCTAGTACGTTTTGTCTCTCTTTTTTTAAATAACTTGTGTTTTATTCGCATCAACCCGATCCGTAGCAATAAAAATATCGAGAGGTGTCTCACGCCTTCCTAATACTTCCAAACGGGACTAAAACACAACGCAACCTTACTTGAAAATTTTAATCTCAAATTTTGCGCAAAAAATTAAGATTGTTTTTGTTGCAAACACATTTAATATATTCAAAACACAAATTTTTATTTACAAAAAGTTTTTAACATTGTACTCGTCTATACATTTATATACGAACATAACTATATTACATGCATTGCACCTGAAATATTGATTTAGAGATAAGTATGGCCATTAAAAGAGAGTACAAGTATAAAATATATGAATATTTGTAACAAATAAAAATTGGTCGCAAATATCCACATGTACCTAACACACGTGCAACATTTATTCATTAGTCCCCTTGAAAAATAGTCTTTTGCAACACTATTTTATTAATAGGCAAGAATGTATAATTTTTTTATATTTTAATCTCAAAATTAACGTTCATAAAAAAATATCTAAACTACCCAATCATCACAGAGGAAAGCTATTTTCTTTAAAGAATATGTACATGTGCATTATATCTATACAATAACAATTAAATAAGATAATATCAGTAGATATGTAAAACAATTTTTAAAAAATATATAAATTATATATCAATTGTGTACGATCTTAAATATTACTTAAGCGAGAAATGTACAAGAAGTTATTTCTCAGGAATTACTGACACGGATAATAGTAATATCTCTTTTTAATTAGTAATAAATGTCTCTTTAAATTTGTAAACTCTTTTTGTAATCTCTTTTTTGTAAACTTAATTAAGGCTTCAGAATAAAGTGTCTTTTTTATATTTCAACAATTAAAAAAGATTACAGAAAAAACAATCCACAAGTTTTTCAGAGACAAGCCTATTATCAATGTATACATTACAACTTTCTTACATTGAAGGACTGTAAAGGAATACCAGAATCTAAATTTGACCTGATTGAATGATCACACATTGGTCAATGATTTTCCGGTTCAATTATATCATGATTTTTTGATAAAAACTAATGCCATATAAATTGTATATACAGTACTGTATAAATTATATAAAACTCTTGTGCCGTTTTTTTTTTCATTTTATTCCATTTTTGCGGTCTTGGTCGTTACTTCCGTTTGTGATTTTAAATAATTTCGCGGAACGTAGCCTTGTTTACCATCGCGATTTTCCACAAGCCACCATTCGTCGTTTCCTTTTTCATCGTGAGATCTGAGTAGTCGCAAGGCTTGGCCGTTACTAATAGACAACGTGCCAGGTATGTTTCCAGCAAAATCGTACATCGCATAATAAAACTAAAAATCAAATTATGTTAGTAGAGAGATATGTTAGTGCGCAATGCGGAATATTAAGAAAAATGATATTACTAACTTCGCTATGTATGTTTTGATACACCTGAACTTTCGGTGTTTCCGGAACGTTGCTATAATTATGAGTTACCATCAGTTCTTGGTTCACGTCTAACGAAAGCACTTCTTGGAGATGCGATTCTTTCTTAATCTCTTTCTCCGGAGAATCCAACGACATCAAATTCGAAGACGTAGAACTCTTCCTCACAGTAGCGATGTCCGGTGTCTGACTTCGTTGCTGAACTGGCTTCAATTCTTGAGATGGCAGAAATCCTTGAATGACTCCAGTATCGACGTACCATCTCGACGTATCTCCCATTGGATCTTGCTTTTTTATAACTGCAATCAGCATACCTTTTGAGGCACTCACATCTAGTTCCGAAGTACTGACAACGTCGTTAATCACTATGTACAATTTGTCCACAGTGTATTTCTCTCTGAGTAAAGATTTCTCTTTTTCAGTTTGCACACAGGATTGTGAGTGACTCTCATCTATTTGGGGATTCGAGCCCACGAACGCAAAACGCGTAATTTGATTCCATATTAAATTGTGATTTACAAGAAATGATTCCAGCACGTCTTGCGACGATAAATTCGGCGATGTCTAGATAAAAGAAAATGTTCGGTCCGATTTATAGTAAAAGTGTAATAATTAATAATCGATGTTTTATCAAAGTTTCAATTCAACGAAAAATACCTCGCACAGAGTCAGATATTGCTTCGTAATTTTTCCACTCAGTAATTTTCGGGCACCTGCGAAAGTACTTATGCAATTGACTAAAATGTTCTTTGCCGCGTCCAATAATATGGGCAATTCTTCCAGCAGTTGTTGATTCAACGCTTCGTAATTACTCTTGGCAGTAAATAACTCTTCCTGTACCTGAGACAAAAATCAAATAAATTGCAAGTGTAAAAATGTAACACAAAATAGCACGTTGCTTATAACAAATAAATACTGAATTATATGTAACAATTACAATTTTTGAGTCTTTATATTTCTCACTCTTAGAAACAGCGGCGTCGTAATCCAGCAATTTATCGTGCCTCTTTGCTACCAATATCGCCGGACCTTCTAACAACGTCGCTAGAAAATGCAATGGCGCGCTGACTCTTTTCTCAATACAAAACTTAAAATCTTCCACATATTGAGACCAAATGATGGATCTTATACTTTGCAGTTTTTTCACCTCGGCAGGCGGTTTTCCCTGATAATAATGAGCCAGAAATTCGGTTATCACTTCGCAAGACATAGCTTCATCGCTCAAATAAACAACACATTGTTCAACATCTTTCGCTAACTGCCACGTGCATTTCTCTATAGATCGAAATTGCTTCTCAAATTCCTCGAATTCGGTGTCGCTTGCGATATTCGTTAGCCCTAAACTCGCCGACAATTTTGTGCTTAACCTTGTAGACATCTTTGCCACAGAATGCATGCTTAATTTCGACATTTTACCAATTAAGGTGTTATCGTTGTCTAAATATTTTGATACGATATCTCTTCTGCGTTTATACTCGTTTATGTAACTGGCCACATTTGTCATGACCTTCCATGCTTCCTCTATAGAAGCTTTATCCGGATGATTATCTTCCGTGCACTAAAAAGTATAGATTATTTTAAAAATCTAGTAAAAGTAGTAATTATTTTAAAAACTACTTAGTAATTATTTTACATGTTGTCAAAACCAACTCATTATATTTAAATTGTTTTATGTGTTTCCGTTTTTCTTACCTTTATCAATTCATATAATATTAACGGATACTTCAAAATTCTTTGTACCGGTTTTATTAGAATAGAACTCATATCAAAACAAGCAACTTGACGACGTAATGTTTCAATACCTTTGTTAAATACTTTCATAATCTCTTCATTATTTTCATACTAAAATAAAATTTAATCATTAATAATCATAGTTTTATACAAGTCACCTTAACTTTATGTATTTGAACAAACAAGTCTTCTCATAACTAATATTTTTAATATTGTATTAAAATAACCTTTTTTAACAAAGCTAATGCTGCTTCGTGATTTCCACAATATTTAACATAAACGTTTTTTAAGTTGTCAGCCATTTTTACAAAACAAGGACCGACTCGTTGCACGCTTTCATCGCAACCTTTCATTGCTTTCAAAATCATGTCTAATAATTCCTCGGCGACATGAATAACATCTAAAAGATTTCCAAACAAAGTAGCAACATCAATCCCCCTAGATTCGAGAAGCTTCGGGTCGTGTAAGTTAAATGTTTCATACGTCAACTTCAAATCGCGAACGTATTCCTTCTCTGTTATAACCAACTCGGATATTACATTTTGCCGTTGATCCGCACGCTTTTGCCTTACATCGACTTCAGTATTGACTGCGCATTCGTTCCTTCGTTCTTGAGCGCATACTTCTTTGTTTGTAACAACTTCCTTTTGTAAGGGCACTCTACCTGGAGCAGGAGTTGGTGGTGCTGGTCTGTGCGGTTGCGACATTCTTTTAGGCTTCTGTTCTCCGTTTACAATAGCACTCGTTTCCTTATGCCTAATCAGCACAAAGTCTTCGAAGTCTTGTATATTCGATTCTTGCCGACTATCCGATAAAGGTTCAGATACTGAACTTAAGTATTCTCGAGGACACAAGCCAATCAGACCGTCTTTATTCTTTACATTCACCCAATCTTCGTTAGCCATTTCTACTACAGTAACGGTCTCGCCTTCTTGAACGCTCAAATCGCCATCCATTTGCGCATCAAAGGTAAATGACACTTTTACAGCAACACCCGGTTCTAGAGCGTCTTTCTTCGCAGGCATCACTTCAGATTCAATCTGATTTTGTTTGGCTTCTGCGCAATCGACTATGATATTAACATAAGACGATGGGAAAATGCCCTTTGTAGTATCAATCATACCCTCCATCCATTCAGAGTCAATATGTCTGGTGAGATGCACCACTTCACCAACTCCAAAACTTAGCTCGTTCGGAAACTGTGCATTAAATGGATATAGCGTTATGGCATATGGTTTAACATCGACGGAATTCACATAATTATTGCGTTGTGTGTCATTCACATTGCTGGTTGATGGCAAAGCCTCGGGGAACAAATCAAAATAATTTGGAGCAGGTTCATCAGATATGTTTGTAGAATTTGCAGAAGTTTCGCTAAAATCTTCATAAATTGTGCTGTTGTAAGATGTTAAAGAGGTTGTAAAATCTTGTTCTATTGTGCATGTTACTTCTTTATTGTCAACTGAATCTTGATCCTCATCTAAATAACATATAAATCCTTCTGGAAATATGCCTTCATTGCCATTTTCTGTAATTCCACGACACCAGCCATCATCTAAAATTTCTATAACAATCACTGTCTCTCCTGATGTTAGATCCAATTCTTCTGCAAGTTGTGCTTTTAAGGAGGTTTTTACCTTGGCTCTTTTTCTTATTGATTTCTTTTTCATTGTTTTCTACAAAACAATATTTTTATTAATTAGAGCAACTTTCTTATACATATATGGCTAGCATATATATGCAATAGAAAAATGTAATATCTTCTAAAACTACCTTTATTAATACTGCATCCAGTTCCCATGTATATGATAATGGAAAAATACCAGTTCTTGAACCTATTTTGCCCACGCACCATCCTGAGCCTATGTCTCTCATCCCAATAATAAATTCTCCTATTATAAAGTTGATGTTTATGAAATACAATTTGTGTTCAAATAATTAAAAATATTTTTAAAATATATAGTCTACTAACAATATCACAATACTACAGTGCATTTATCAGTAGTGTTACCTTGAGCAAAAGATAGATCTCCAGTTTCCTGTCCGGAAAAGTTAGCTATAGCAATAAACGGTCTTTCAGTCTCAGTAAACTGAGGAATCTCTATTTTATGTAAATGACTCAGAGGAAACTTTCCAAATTTGTCTTGAGACTGACCGTAGCACCAATGCTTATCTACAATCTCATGTATCTGAAATGATAATTAAAAAACATTACACACAAATTGTTTTTTTACATAATCAACTTATCAGACACATATGATTGTTGACTAGGTAGACTAGGTTATATCACAAGCACTTCACGATAGAATACCAGGAAATATTGTCCTTTAGACAGACTCAGTTCTCCGTCGACGGTGGTAAGGAAGTCGTGCAGCACTTTTGCCAGTGTTCCCGGCTCCATATCTGCGATGTCGTAGCATCCGTCGATCTCGCGTTATTGCGACTCGCAAGCGGAGCAAAATCTGACAGTTGATACTGCTGCGATAAGCGACTGTCACGTGGCACGTGTAGTTGTGTACGTGTTTGTATGTGCGTAAGTCACGTATCTCATCAGCAATACTCATTAAGATTAATCAACAACCATCCATAGGTCACTGCTATTTTAAAATATTATTTTTTAAGTCTGTTCAACAATATATATAATTATCGGTATTGCTTTGTAAACATTTTTTTTATACCAGATAAGCAAAATATATCTTTGTTTTGTAAAACTATATACGTATATGAGTTTTTTTGAAGATAAAAAAATTTATTTCAATATTTAAATAACAAAATAAGAGACCGTTTATTATTATTATTAATTTATAGATTATCATCACACTACCCTTACGAAAAAGAACTACTGCCGATTACATATAAATAAAGTCAGTAATATAAATATTACTGACAATTACATAAGAATATTATTAGGTATTACAGGAATTGTATTTTATTGTTGTATCTGACGAACATTTTGTACAAATGATATTTTTATCCATAACTTTTCATTTTGGAATTGATTAATAAATTCCCATTCATCAACAGTCATTAATAATAATACTGTTTTAGCAAAATTATATATCCATTAAGTGCAATAAGTGTAAAAAGTGTAAGTAAATGAACACACGTGTAGAAAACATAACCTCGCACAAATGTAAATAACATTTCAGAAAATAAAATAAATTACAAATGACAATTGTCTTAAGCTTGATTGTTTATATCGTGTGTAATTGTTAAGTACTTTTGTATAGATGATAAAAGTCACGTGAAAAAGTAACAGCATAGTCTTCAAACATACACGTAAGAAAGAGAGAGAGGTTAAATTCTTTTAAGATACAAAATTAAATTTGCGACATTGTACAGAATTCTTAAAATCCTTTGTATTTATTAATTGTTGAACATATGTTATTACATGATTTTTTTTAAAAGATGCAATATGTGCGTAAAATTCTGAACATCGCGCAGCAAAACTTGCGTGTGTGCAACACAACTGACACAACCTGTAAAAGATCTGGATTATTGTTGCAAAATTTTGTTTGTCGTTTTACTCATGATTCTGAGAGAAGTGCATCTCCAGACACTAATATAGAAGATGAGACGGATAACCAATACACACAGATATCCAATCAGTGCTTAGGCACTGCAGATGGAGGACACAGAGTCTTCATACTGCAACCGTTTATAAAATGGGGTAGAGACAAGAAGAGGAACACCTCGCCAGAATTGCAAATGGCAGAATCAATAGCACTCATAAACACACTACATAATTGGTATGTAGTTGGGAAAAAATTTGCTCCGTTACTTACATTGCAGAAAAAAACTTTACTGGGCACTGGTGCGATGGAAGACTTGAAGGAGCAATTAAGCAAATGCAATCCCACTGCTATATTTGTCAGTACAAATCACCTGACCTTTGCCCAGATTACTAAGTTGGAAAACATCCTAGGTTTGCCAACATTCGATCGTTACTCCATAGTTATCCATATATTCCGTAAACATGCAGTGACCGCAGAAGCCAAGTTACAAGTCTCTTTGGCGGAAATACCATACGTCCGAAAAAAACTGTTTCAATCGTTTGTTACCAAGTGTGGTGTTATAAATATAACAGAGAAGACAAAACTGATGCTTGACAGGAGAGAGAAAAAATTGAAAGACTCGCTGACGAAGTTGCATCGACATCGAGAACTCATCAGAAATCAGCGTAAGAATCGCGGTTTTCCTACAGTCGCCGTAGTTGGTTACACAAACGCGGGAAAAACATCCTTGATAAAGGCACTCACTAACGATAATGCTCTACAACCTAGAAACGAATTATTCGCGACTCTTGACACGACTGCGCACGAAGGAATCTTACCCTGTAGATTAAAAGTATTGTACATGGATACTATTGGATTTATTCAAGACGTGCCGGAAACACTGATTGAACCATTTGTTGTGACTCTGGAAGATGCCATAATTGCTGTACATTTTAATTATTGCAACCACTTATTATTTTCTCACATAGAAATTGCCAATGCTGTTAAATCGGGTCAACATTGATTAAAATATTTAACTTAAACAACCAGATTTAAGCCAGTGCAGCTGAAGTTAATCAGTATTGACTTTATTTCTACGTGGGAGTATTCTTTTTTATCTTACCACAACAAAATGTTTCTCAAGATAAACATTATTTTTTTCCAGGATGTGATAGTTCATATATACGACGTTAGTCATCCTGATATGAAAGCGCAGTATCAACACGTTCAGGAAACAATAAAACCTATGATAAGCGAGAATCGTCCGATCATAGATGTAGCGAATAAATGCGATCTCATTCAAAGCGATCTCATACCTAAGGACGCGATTGCCGTTTCTTCTACAAAGTTAATAGGTGCGGTTGTAAAATTCATTTATATTGCAACTACAATTTGATTAAAGAACAATTTTGAAAGCATTTAGTTTGCGTTTACAGGAATCGATTTATTGCGTCTGGAAATAGAAAAACTTCTTCTGGCCGTTACCGGATTGTTGCGCACACGTGTAAGAGTGGAGTCGGGCAGCACCGCAGCTAGTTGGTTGTACAAAATGACAACGGTGACAAATGCGCAACCAGATCCGAACGATGCTCAGTATTTAATTCTGGACGTGCTCGCCACTTCGCTCGATATAAAAAGATTTAAACAATTTTTACGACAATAAACTAATTTCACAAGTTTCACTTGCTTTGTTTCTTTTGTGTCCGCATGAATCTTCGTCAAGATAGCTTAAGTGTTATCGTTGTTCTCTTCGTGCAAAATTATCTGTTTTTTTTGTCTATAGTTATATGTATAATAAAAATGTTCGTCTGAATTGGTCACAAACATGCGAGGAGCTTGCACTTAAAAATCTTAGAAATATCTTTCGAGTACGGCGTGCTGCCAAGAAGTTTTTTTTTACGGCCCGATACGTACACGTGCTCCGCACGTGTTTCATCGCAGTCGACAGAGTCCTCGTAATCGAGACGTAAATTAAAGTTTCGACTGAGATAAATTTTTATTAGAGTTAACGAGATTTGAAAATCTTGTCGCTGGACGTATTTTTGGCGCGAACCAGTAAGTAAACGTAATTTTAAAGGATCTTTGTATAAATAGGATTTTTGTTTGAAACTCTTTCCCTTGTTTTCCCCTCGGTAGAATTCGGCAAATAACTAATCCACGATAATCGTCCGACAGAAGAGTTCACCACCCGTCATCCGGTGTTTATCTCTATCCGCCGTTGTTTTATTAAGAGTTCTGTTTGTTTGTCTTATCTTTCTGCTCGCGCGTAAATGTACTAGCTATCATCATCCACCGCGCAAGTACACAACTTCGTTACCTCGTGATGAGTATGTCGTTGTGACGCGATGTATTATTCATTGAGCTCGATGGTTTTGCATAAAAAGATCTCTGAAAAAAACGCTACTAAGTGAACTATCATTAATGACTACATTATTTATTTATTTATTTATTTTTTTTTTTCTACACACTCTCTTCTCTCATTTATCTTTCATTACTGTAATATGAATTTTCTAATAACCATCAATCTATACGTATAAGCATGCACGACTATTGTTGTGAAATTCCGTCAGGAGACACGAGATGCAACGATAATCGGGCGATTGTCGACGAATCTCAACAATTATGCGTGCGCTTTATGCGGATGACTCTCGACCGTAAAACTCTCTTCAACGTGAGCCTCAACTCGGGCAACGAGTCATTAATATCAGATGACGGCGGGACACCCTGTGTGCAATCTTATAGAGCATCCCGCAGAATTAATCGCGCCGCGCCGCGCGCGAGCGGAGGAGTGATGTCCTGGACGCGCGCATCGTCCTCCCTCGGCTTTGGAATTAATGAAGGATTGATATCGCGATTATGTTGTAGCAATAGCACAGAAGAGGGTCCAGCGTTGTAACCGTGTGGGCCGATCGGCAGCGACGGCAGCGCGGACCGTGCGATAATTAATTGCAGGCGTGACGGCGCTTTAACGTCGTTAATTTTCATTATCTCGATCGGAATCCGCTTGTAGCGCGGAGCGCCGCGCCGCTTTGCAGCTCGCTAATTTCGCGCGCGCGCGCGCGCGCGAGCGAGCGCTCGTTCGCCTTGTAACCTCGCTTACGGGAAACGCATTAATAATTCTTGCAACCCGAGGGTAGGAGACTGGGAGAGGTTCTTGCAAAATTTGTCACTTGCCCCGCGGTGACGCTAATGTCGCGGTCGTTTTTCTGTACGACCGGCGGGGATTCACGATTGTGTTCAAGAACGTGCGCGATGCAGTTTGCGCGCGTGCATCGTTCGAATTGTGTGTTAAAACAAGCTAAATAAAACGTCATTATCGCCGGTTGTTCCTATCGCGAACAACAAATTTCCATCACTCGCGAGCGTTTTTACGTTTATATCTAGTCTCTCTGTTCCGGGATATTATACACCCACAACATCACATTTGTCTTTTCTAAACTCCAAACAAATTTAATCACTTGTATCATTTAAAAAAATGCTCAGAACAAAAGCTCTATCTAGACGTTCATTAGACGTCAACAGCTTCATGCGATATCCAATAGATATATGATAGCCTAATGAAGTTTTTGTTTTGTATGAATAATTCGTATCTTTAAAAAATGATATGATTTTGATACGTTATATGTTCCACTTGCGCGTTATCTTATCGCCCGACTGAATTAACGGAAGCGAGTGAAATGCGATGATTCTTCTTCGTCCGTCGGAAAAATGTCAATGATAATAACAATAATAATAATGAGACTCTTCGGCACAATGGTCCATTAGATTGCTACTGGCCCCCGACCTGACCGGGTGCGCGCGTTTATTTAACGCTTTAAACACAAAGCTTGCGGCTTAACCGGGTTCCTATTGTCCCTGCCCCCGGCAATTAAGCAAACGATTGGCTAACGAACGTCGATCGCCTCGTCGAGTGCGCGAACTCGTGTAACGTAATGATCGCCGCGCTGATTTGCTCGCCGCTACAGATTCAATTACACGAGGCCGCGTGACGCGGCATGCCCTGATATTTCGCCGGCGCGCGAACCGTTTCGAGATCAACGGCGGAAATTGAATTAAACCTAACGCCGCCCATACGCTACGCGCGCATAAATAACGAAAGTGACACCGCCATCGACTCGGCACCTAACGAGCATAATCCGATACTTGCGTTGTTTCGAACGTTGCGCACGCTATGGTGTGCACGCCGCCGTGCGATAAGCGAGTTTTACAGTTTGCTTTACTAAACGAAACTTGCGAAATTTTCGTCAAACACGAGCTTGTGTATACCAATTAACCGTCTGGCGGCGCCAGAGAATACGTGATCGAAATGATCAAAAACTGATTGCGTGTCGAAGATTTATATTTGTATCTTTTCGCGACCCTCCTCCCCCTTTATCGTCTTCTTCCAATTATCCAATATTTGAAGACGCGCGATCTACATATATGTACATCTTGTGATATATATTTTGTCGCAAAACACAAAAGTTCAACGACCGAAAAATGAAAAACTCGCGAACGTTGTAATATTTTCTCACAATCGTTCCGAGAGAAGATACAGAATCGCATCACGAGGTGTGAAAACCGTGAGGATATAGGTGGGGCCCTTGTGTCTCTCCGGCCGACATTCGCGGCTCGGTTAGTAATCTTCGGAGAGTTTGAGCGGCTCGACTTCAAAGGGAACGCAGAAAAAAAAATTTTGTACGCGACCGGCCGCCGCGTAGGAGAATACTTTCAACGAAACGATCAACGCGCTATGTTCCCTTCTTGCGAATTATCTCGCCTCCTCGCTGTTTTTCCCCGTCTCTTGCCTTCCTCTTTCGCGTACTCTTACTCGCGCAAAAGGTCGGACGTCGGGAGCAACGCGCGCATTTGCATACGCGCGTTCTCTCTCTTTCTCTTTCCTCCTCTTCCCCCGTCCGCCCTTTGCCCCACCCCTCTTCGTTCACGTCCTCATCATTGCGCTTTAACGCGTGTAGTCACGCGCGTGCAGTCATTTATCGCCAAGATTATACCGGGTGTTGCACCAACTACCGCACAACGCTCGCGAGAGAATGAAATTCAGGGTGAAACGCCGAGCGCCGATAGCACTTAACTTAAATGAAATTGCTCGAAATGCGCGCAGAGGGAAACGCAACAATCTTGCGTAATCATTTCAAAACAGATATCTTAATTAACGTTCGACGAACTATTTATAGTTATTGGATTTTAACGTTCTCTTGTTTCCGCACACGCGCGTAATAGATCTCGATAACAGCGAAAAAGTAATAATATCGTTAAGAGAAAGAACAAAAAAAAAATAAACCATGTGCAGTACGATGTGGTTTTGGAGGCACCTCCCGGATCGTTCGGTCCCGATAATTTGTCTCTTCGAGCTCTGCTCTCTTCCCATATAGTCATCGGTTCAGTTGGCGCCTTCAGCTGCGAAACACACATTCGCATCTTATGTAAAATCCTCCTAGTCTTTTTACGAGATACATCCCTGTCAACGATGTATCGCGCGATTGGCTGTTCCGCGGGCGTGGGAGCTCCGCGTGGGGGTTTGCGGCACGTTGCACAGTTAGTATAAACATACCGGGGGTGGATCGAGGCAAGCGAGACGGCTAGTACGGTCGACAGGGCGAGAAGGGGGTTAGAGATAGGAACGATAGCCGGTCGGCGCAAGTGCGACGGGGAGAAAGCGCCGCGGAGGCGAGGGGCGTATCGCTGCCTGGCGAAGCCCAGTCGAGTCCCGTGAGTCCGGGCAAGCACTGCTGTTGAGTAGGTGGAATTGTGGTGGTGGTGGTGGTGGTGGAGGTGGTGGTGTTAGGCGTCGTCCGGGACCGAGGAGAGAGATTCCTCCGGGAGAGAGAACCGCCATCGAGTACCGCCGCCGCCGCCGTCGTCGTCATCGTTGTTGTATATCGTCCTTGTCTCGTAATTTTCATCTTGTTCGTTCTCGAGTAATATTCATATTATATTCTGTGCCGCCGTCGTCGTCGTCATCGCCGCCGCCGTCGTCGTCGTCGTCGTCGTCGTTGTCGTCGTCGTTGTCGTCGAGGCGGTGCGCGTCGTTGTCGCGCTCTTGGTAAATGCCCAGCCCCGAGAAATGGAGTAAACAGCCTCCCTTCGTCTCCCTCGTGCCTCTTGTTTGAGTGAGCGAAACGAATGTAAAGCGTGAATGCTAGGAGAGAAAGAAGAAGAAAAGGAGCGCGCTAATGCAAATGTTTGAGCGATAGAGTAGTACGAAAGAGAATGTATGTGTGTGACGAGAGAGATAGAAAATAAGAGAGAAAGAGAGAGAGAGAGAGAGAGGGAAAGCGATTGAAGCGAATGAAGAGAAAGGGAGAATGAGAAGCGCGGTACAGCGTTCTCAGAAGCGGTAAAGAAGTAACGTCCCGGCTGTTATCGGTCGCCGGTGTTGTCGGAGAGGGAGAGGAGGAGACGCGCCTACCGGTGGCGTATAGCGCGCGAAGTCACGTTCGAGCTGAGCCTCGCCGGCGACGAAGGAAGTGGCGGAGGTGTAGGAGGACAGAGAGAGAGAGAGAGAGAGAGAGGCAGCGGCGACGCCGGCGAGAGCTGTCACTTCGATCGCCATTTTAGCGCCGAGGAACGGCCGTGTAGTGTACGCACGCTGACGAGCTCGCGGTGCGTGCCGACAACGCGCCCGGATACGTCTCGCAAGTTCGTGCCGCCCTCGCTTGAGTCCTCGCGAATGTTTGCG